TTGCAGACAGAGATAGAGACGGACAACTAAGTCAAGCGCGTGAATCGTTCGTTGTGAATTATAGCGTTTGTTTAAGTTAACTGGCTGTGGGAATTAAGTGTATTGCAAAGTTGTATTGAGAAAGAATAAACTAGTTTTATTTAAGGAAGGACTTGTATTGCTGAAGTTTTTCGGATAGAATTTCTACGGAAAATTAACAAACGAACACAGAGACGTAACAGTATTGTATTGGTTTGATTCTTACATTTTTCTCAAAAGTGATGAAAAATTGTAGATCCTTTTTAAGTGGCGAAACAATCACATAATTAGCCAGCATTTTTATTGAGATTTTTTAGGTCTGGCTACTAGACTTGTTTCTTTCAAGATCCCTAGGTAACAAATAAAATTTATAATTTCTCTTAAATTTGAAAAATAAAATATTATTTTGATATTATTACACAGAATTTTTTTAGTATTAAAATGGCAACAGTATTTATTAGCTTTTATCAAAAGTTGGCATGAGAAAAATACTTTTTCAACATTTTAAAAGTAGATATTTATTTTTTGCTTGTAATAAATATTCGAAATAGACATAAATTGGTATTGATTTTTTAAAAGCTTATTTATGTTATCTGTTAATAAGTTACAAATTGTGAAACTATGGGCTTATTTTGTATAAAATTTTCAACATTGTTAAATAGTTTTAAAACTTGTGAATATTGCAAAAAAGTGCTTTTTTTTTGCACATGGTAGAAATGGGCCAAAATTAAAACTATTACCTGTAGACATTAATAAAATATCTAGCTTAGTGCAAAGAAATATAAAATTTATCGAAAAGATTATTATCACAGAGCTCCAGAATGTAATCACATTAGGTGCTAGTGACAAAAGTGATAGATTCAGATTAATATTGGATCATGTGTTTGTGCTGTTACATGAGGTGTTTTAATCCCTAATAATTCTGCTGTTAAGTACATTATAAAAAGATATATATTAATTGACAATTTTTAAAAGTTTACATCAGTTTTTGCATAACATTTTTTCTTTTCCATAAGAGCATAAATGAAATCATCTTATAAATGCTTGGTTAGAAAATTAAAGTTAGATAACATCACATCCCAATTTAATAATATGTTTTCACACTATACTGTTCCACAAAAAGATTGATTTAATGGTTATAAACTAGATTATCTGATATGTTGAAAAAAATTGCCAGTGTCCTCAACCCATTTTACATCACAAGCACTGAATATTTGTTTTCAAATCCTTGAACTTTGTAATCACTTGGTGATATTACTACATAAACACACATGTTTATGAACTTAATTTCATCAAAAGTCATTTGGTTTATCTAGCACTTTTTGCTTTGATATTTGCCCTTTAATACTGAACTCAACTTCAAAGTAACAACATTACATCATAGAGTAAATGATCAGGAAGTACTGGAGGTCATTATGTCTTCCAGTATATTTACTGAAATTCATTTTTGCACTAAAATGTGTAACTCTAATCTGACATATTTTTGTGATTTGTTTGTGCTTGTACAGTAATAAGAATAAACTTCCCAGACAGACATTCAGATATGTTTCTTTTGATCTAGTGAGATTAGTACATATGTTATCATGCTGTGTACACCTACAGTACATTGATACTATAATGTACTGATACCTTAGAATAATAAGTTTTATCTGTAATATAAAATCTCTTATGTAGTATAGTGAATTTTGGAAAAAAATCCTTATATTATTTTAAAATAACCAAGTTTTGCTCTGCAGAAGAACATTGCTTCCAAATAACCACTAAAAACAAAGTAAACTAGATACTATATATATATATTTAAGTCATAGTTTAAGAGTTAAACCAAAGGCAAGAAATGTTTGTAAAAATATAATTAATTAACTTTTTTTTGTAAATTTACTTACATGTTATTCAGTGAGCTTTGGGAATTTTTTCCTTTTTATTAGTTAATTTTCTGAATTTTGTGTGATTGATTGATATTTTTAATATTGCATCATTTCATTTTATAGCCAAATATACAGTAAGCCTATATTTTAAAGTACAAAAAGCTCCTTTACTATGATTTTTAATGAAAATTTATGAATCAAGAAACGTCTACATCTTTTTTTGTTTGCATATTTTAAATTTTTTTATGAACTGATCATTTTGTAGTTAATATTTTATTCATATTTTGTTTTAATCCTTTCATTTTAGATATGTGTTTGCATAATTAAAACAGACAAGATTTTTTGGAATAATATAACTTTTGTTTTCAGTTACTGAAGCAAAGGATTTTATCTGTTGGATAACTTTTCATGATAATGTAAAGAATCTAGATAACTATTCAATTCAAACTTTCCACTTTTAAGGGTAGGGCTGCAGCATAAAAAAAGTATACATACAAAACTCTTCTTAGTTCTTTTCTAATATTATTTCTTAAACACTTTTCATAATGCACTGATATTTCATTCCACATGTGTAGCTGAAGATAACTATTCAATTTTTTTAAACTTTATAATAATACTTAATCTGTATCAAATGTTTGATTATTTTAACAGGTATCAAATATGCTGAATCAAGCGTACTGAGATGATTAAACAATGACAATCATTATAAATACTTCGACCCTCCATTTTTCCAAGTTTGATTTGGTTTTTATGTATGAAATGATCAGTTATCCCAAATGAACACATGACACTGTAAGGGAACATCTCAAAATATTTCCCATGATGCCTCAGTTGAAAAATAATTTTTTCGTCCTTGCACATATCCCTTTAAATCAGGTCAGATCTTTCTAAAGGCCATTTCAACTTCAGTTTTAAGTTGTTTGCCCCAAAACAGTATCTTCTTATGCATTATCCAGTTCTATGTGTGAAACTGCTTCAAGTAATTTATGAAACAACAGAAATTTATTGTATTTAAATACAGACTTTAATTTTTGTTACATAAAAAAAAGACATCAGCCATGGACCAAAACTTGTACCCTTTTCATAAACTGAACCAAAAGCAGCAAGGAACTTTTAATAAAGTTGGAGAACAACATAATAGTTGGAAGAAGAAAGATGAGACTGCTCCATCTAAACCTCAAGGTTTGAAGTCAACTGTTCTGATTGATCCTTTTTTTGAACCAAGAGTATTACGTAAAAACAGTGTTATTCAGAAGTTTATTCCTCCAAAGGATATAGTGTCAAAAGTTTTAGTTCTTTTCACTGGTGGAACCATAGGAATGCTCCAAACTAGAAATGGAGGTTAGTAATGTTTTATTTTACTTTTGTGATGCATTTGAAACAAGGTGTACCATGTTGTATGCGTGGCCTTGAAATACTTTTTTTTCTGAACTTTATAATAGATATTTGTGATGAGTTTGTGACTTACTTTTTCTCATGCATTGTTAATCTCTGTACAGCCTTCCAGAATTCTTGGTGCTACTGTAGTGTACAGTCTACAAAGATATTTACACTATAGCGTGCAGTATACACAGATACTATTCATCATCACAGTTTTAATGATTCACTAAAACATAATTTCTTGCTAAATAATTTATATCTATCCACGTTTTTGTTCAGCAAATAATAATGATTTAATAAGTTGTGTGATCCAAAAGAGTACCTTAAATTTAGGTTATAATTGTGCTAGTTTTGATTGTTGGAATTTATTTAATTCCAATTATATTTGCCCAAAAACATTATGTAATGGTATTTTATACTTTATTAGTTTAAAAGCATTATTTATAATAAATGTTGCCAATTGCAAGTAAACAAAAATTAAAACGGTGATGATGATGATGATAGTATCTGTGTAAGACCTCATGCTATAGTGTAAATATCTTTGTAGGCTGCATGCTATAGTAGCACTGAATTATTTTTAAACTGCTACTAAGCTTGCCAAAATATCTGAATTCACTTGTGCTTCCACTTTAATTTATTATAAAACAATATTTAGTACTTTTATAACAAAAACTTTACTGATCAAGCTATATTCAAATCTTAAATGTGCATTGCAATATTGAGTTTAAAGAGGTTATAATTTCATTGTACAGGGCACTGGTTAAGCCACATTTGGAATTTTCTGTTCAGTCTTGGGCTCCTTACCTTAGGAAAGACATTGAATTGTTGGAAAGAGTTCAGAGAAGGGTTACTAGAATGGTGCCTGTGATGGAGGGGTTGTCAAGGAGGAGAGGCTGAAATCTCTCAAATTGTTTTCTCTTGAAAAAAGAAGAGTTGGGGAGATCTGATTGAGGTGTTTAAGATTATAAATGGAATTGATAGTGTTGATGCATCATCTTTTTTAATATTTAACAGTGAGAATAGTAGGACTAGGGGACATAAGTATAAATATTGGCAGGGTAGGAGTCATCTTTAGCTAAGACAATTTTATTTTTCTAACAGGGTGGTTGGCCTTTGGATGTTGTAGAGGCAGTAAATTTAAGTGAGTTTAAGAAAAAGCATGATAAGTATATGAATGATAAGGGCTGGCTTTAAGATTATTATTTTTAATTATTTTAATTTAGTTTGGAGGTTGGAACAGCCAAGATGGATCAGTAGGTCACACGTTGTCCCAAAATGTTATATTATTGTTATACATATGAGGTATGAGTTATTTTAATCATTAAGTGTCTTATAACAAATGTTTGTTATTCTGTTTTTTTCTACAAAATCTAATATCTTATTTATACAATAGACAAGAGCAGATTCAGGGGATGGGGGTTACTACCACACACTATATTTTGTCAAGCAGTGTTTTCATAAATTTAAAAGCAAACTTATAAGTAGCATAAAGAGCTATAAAAATTGTGGGGTTTAAATTCCCCCCCCTTCTTCCCATTAAATGGAAATCCTATATCTGCCCCTCCTGTATCCCATGGCCAGTTTGTTCATAGGAACACCATTTCTGAGGCACTGGTTATATTCTCTCTCTCCATTTTTGTCTTTGATGATTTGCAGAGCTCTTTCTGTGGCTTTCTAGGTCATATTGTTAGTGAGAACTACAGTTGAAATGGTAATTTTCATTTTTGTGATCAATCTTCCATTTTATGTAGTGATGGCTCCAAGGTGTGTCTCACACACTTACTGCTGAACCATTAGGAGGGTGAGGGGGGGGGGCACCTGAAAGAGTGGCATCCTTCCACAGATAGTTTATTGTGTGACTTTGTACTTAACTACAAATAAAAACAAACATTTTCAGGCTTCTTGTTTCTGACAAAGGTAAACTATGCTGGGGTGTTGCCACTCTTCTCTTTTTCTCTTCTCAGCACTAATTTCTGTTCCATTGAATACTGCATTGCTATGCAGTCTTGTTTTTAGGTGTACAAGTTCTTCTCCTGATACCTGCCAAAATGTCTGTCATCTGCAAGGTATAGGTTTCAGATTCATCTTCCTCTACTCAACACAGTCTCTTCAAAAATTTCAAGGGCATTTCTACCATGTTTTATTCCAGAAAGAAGTTAAAGGGACATGGTGGTAGGAAGCATGCAGCCTTGTCTTACACCTACAGTGTTGTGAAACCATTCACTCATCATATCCCCTACTAGAACTGACCTATCTATGTTGCTGTAGAGAGACCATATGGTTCTCACTATCCCTTATTGTTTCTTCATTACAGCTCAAAGTGCTTTATGCCATACTTAGTCAAAATCTTCTTTGTAGCCTATAAAGTTTTGAGACAATTCCTTCTGATATTCAGATATTTTTTGCACACTATTTTGAGATTGAAAAATCTGTTAAACTGTGCTTCATCCAGTCCTGAATCCCACCTGTTCTTCTACTAATAACATTTCCACTTGATGCTTTATTCTGTTCAGGAAAATGCAGCAGCATTTTGCTTGGATAAGTCAATCAATTTGTCATTTTTGATCAGACCATTTGGCTCAAAGTGTCTTTTGTACTAGAGGTGTTTGGTGAGTATCACTTGTTGCGATATAGGTTTAACCTCACAGTCATTGAGATGCCTTGCATGGCTATCAGATTCTTTCATAACTTTACGTATGTAACGTCTTATGTGAGCAGTCTAGGCAGGTCACTTAACTGTTTTAATTACTTTAAATACACAGCACTGCCTTTACATTTTATAAACTTTGTGCATTCAAATACAAAATACCACAACTAAAAAAAATGTTTTGTACACAAAGTATAAGTTTTCTCTTTAGCATATTTTATAAGAATTCAGATGACGTAAATGAATGCAATTGTTGCATGCATGTATTTACAACCTACTTTTGTACATTAAGGAATTCATATTGTTTTTTCATTTACATTTTTTTTAATGTTCGATTTGTCTTGTTTGGAATTTTTCTTCACCTTATTATTTTTCTTTAGTTTATGCACCACAACCAAATTATTTAGAGAGAAATATCCGAAAGTTTCCAGAATTACATGATCAAGAATATATCAAAAGAAATTATCCTGAAAAAGATAAAGTTCCACTTGTTCTTCCGTAAGTAAATTATAAATTTACGAAGGTGACATGGTTATCCAAGATTTGTTTGAGATCAAAATAAAATCTGTTTTTGCCAAAGTTAAGGTGCACAATATCCTTTCTTTTTCTTCTTCCAGAAACCATTTTTATATTTAAAAACCTAGATATTACTAATATTTTTATATAAAAATAAAACCTGTTTTTCATTTCATATTAAGAAGCCATGAATGAAAGGAGAGCACAATATGTCAACCACACAATATCTGCCATACCCAAATCTAAATGTTAAAAACGTTATTTTTAATACTGAATGTTTATTTATTTTTGTTATCATTTTTAACTCAAATGTTTTCAGATTGAGGAAATACGATTTATATTATATTTGTATTTTTAATCAAACTGTTCATTCCACTTCTTTTTTAGATAACTGTAAAAAGTACTCTCGTATAGTGCTATTTATACAATTTGGCTTAAATTTTACTTTTAGATATCTATCATATATTTAGTGCCTAAGTATTAATCAGTGATTAATAGCATAATCAAAAGATAAATTTATAGTTTCAAATTTTTTCTACATATTTTTTTTGCTATATAAGTCAAGTGTTCTTATACAAATGCAAAAATCTTTCTAGTACAATATGTGTACATACTGCAAATTAAAGTGGAGTTTAAGCTAATTTATGAAACTTGTTTGAAAACTGATAACTTTATTTAATATTACCAAAATAGCATGCTCATTAAAATGTAAAACACTTAGGATCTGAAAACATTTAATATTGAAATGCTAGAAATGTTTTTGTTACTTGGACATGTATATTGGCTTATTGTACAAGATTGGTTTGTTCTGAAAATTTTCTGCAGGGAAACCAGAGACAATAGGAGGGTTATCTACACTATATACGAATATGATCCACTTTTAGATTCTGCAAACATGACAATGGATGACTGGAGAGCTATAGCTTTAGGCATTAAGGTATATGCCATTTAACTTTGTTTTAAGATATTGTGAGATCACTGTACAGTCTGGTGTAAAAAAGGATATACTTTTGGAACAGAATTTCTTTTCAGTCAGCAAAACATTGCTTTCATTTTTGAAGATGTACAACTTGTGCAAAGTTTGCATGAACTTATCAGTGATAATAATTTTTTATTTTTAATACTCAAGATTTTACATTTGTTGCCAGATATAAAAGGATAGTATATGAAGACCTGACTGAATGATCTGCTAAGGTCTACTATTTTTAGAAGAACGTCTTTGTTTGTAAAAAAAAACTATAAAACTGAACGTTTTAATTCAAGCTCATTTCATTTTTACTTTTGTTTCTGAACAAAGAAAATTTGTATATCTCAAATTTAATATGTATGTTTTTATACACTGTATTCATCCATATAGTTCTTTTATTAAAGTTTATTTGTATTAATATCATATTGATTTCCTTTCACTTTATTATTAAAAGGATAACCAATTGTCTAGAAAAGACTTATATAAAGATTTATTTTTTTTACAGAAATGGATTACAAGGAAAGAATATTTATTTTGGTAGTGACAGAATATGACGGAACTTTTCAGTTCTAAATGTTATATTTAATTCATCATCTGCACACTGTTCTTGGATTTTTTATCCATCTAACAATGCTGTTATTATTATTCTTATGGAAGATTTCTATCACTACTTTCATTATATCAAATATAAATATTTTTTTTATCAAACAGAGCTTATAGCATTTCAAAAACTTTAACATTAGATACACTGTGTGTGTGTGAACATATGAGAAGAATTAAGCTCTTTTACTTTAATGTCAGTTTAATTTCATTCCTTTTGTATTTTAGCAATACTATGATACCTTTGATGGATTTGTGATCCTTCATGGCACTGATACACTAGCTTACACAGCATCTGCACTCTCCTTTATGTTGGAAAATCTAGGGAAAACTGTCATTCTTACTGGATCTCAGGTTAGAAAACTCTCATTTCTAAAAGAAGTATTTAGTGTCCTCTGGCGAGGGCTTCTAATGCTAAAAATTAGGTTGCAATACCCATTGTGGGTACAGCACAGATCGCCCATTGTGTAGCTTTGTGCTTAACGAGAAACAAACAAAAGTATTTAGTGTTTTTAAGAGTTTTAATAGATTTATTGAGTGTATAAGTAAGAAATACAAAAATCAACTTTAAAAGCATACACTGTAAGTACAGTTTATTTGTTGTGTGTATAAGTAAGCTTCACATAATGTGTATTCTTTGTATGTATTTTTTGCAATAACAACCTTTTTTAAAGATTAAGTTGCATTTCAGTATATTATTTATTTCATATTATATGATCGAAACATAACTACCTTTGCACATATCTCTTTAGATTTTTCTTTCACAAAATATCCACAGGCAACCTGAATATGGTTTTGGAAGAAAAATTTAAAGCAACTTTTTTGAGTTCAACATCTTTTTAAGATGAAATGGTAATACATTATGCAAGTGTGTGTGTGTGTTTTTTCATAACTATGTTTGTACAGCTAGAAACAGTAGAATTTTATAAATATATTAAAAGGTTATTTTTGTAGATTTCATACTGTTAACATTTAAATATTGTGAAACGTACATATAAAATGTTAAATTTTGTTTTTTCATAGATTCCACTATATGAGCCCCGAAGTGACGGACGTGAGAACTTCTTGAACTCTTTAATAATAGCAGGAAATTACTGCATTCCTGAGGTAGTTTGTTAAAGTTATTGATGGAGAAAACATCAAGGAATAGTTTGTATAATGTGTATTTATTGCTTTGAACATAATAATAATTATCAGTAGCTCTTAATATAATTGTACATGAAAGAGTTATGTTTGAAACTTGCAAACTTGAAATAATAGAGAGGTTTATACTGTTGTGGGCAATTTATTAGCCATTGACTTCCATGAAAACACAGAAATAAATTAGGTAAAAATGGCACCAATCTCCAGCCCATAGCAACACCATCATCCTGATCATACAAATTTCCATTAAAAAGAAAATGAACTTCTTTGGTAGCAAAGTTCCTTAATTTCAAATTTTGGAATTGTCACACTGTTGGAAATGTCATTGTAAAGCAAACCAACACTGTGTGTGTTCATATATAATGATTATTATCAAGACTGGCAGACTGCTCTTTACCGTCAAACTTCAACTGTTATATTTCATGTGAAAACTCAAAACTGTCTTTTAAAGTATACTTATTAGTGGTAAACTTCTTCAAAAATTGAACTAAAAAATTATCTAAAGCATGATTTTAATTTCCAACGTTAGAAACTATTGGACACAAAGAATATCATTCTTTCTTAATTCCAGGCAAACCTTAAAAATACCTGGATGACTTCTTGATGGTCTAATATTCAAATATATTTTTTCATTAAGAATATCATTTTTCTTAATTTTCAGCCAGTGTCTTACCAACTTGGCTTTACTTTTATCAGTAGAATCATAATGCAACTTTACAAGTTTATTAGAATCACTTACACCATCTTCTACTTTCTTTAAATAATCAGCTTTATATAAAATTACAATGCTGTTTTCTTGGCCCAGTACGAATTGCAATTAATAACTATTTGTTAATTGTTTATATAAACCTTTTTAAATATAGATTAATAGTTCAAATGAGTGATGTTAATTACAATAGGACTCCTGCTCATTGTATATAAGTTTTTATTGTTTAATTTGTGTATTTATGAAGTTTAATGCATCTATACAAAACGTTTCTTAATTTATACATTGTCATTAGACATTGTTTCTAATAAATGTTTCGAAATATATTTATAGCTACTGCTTTGAATAGAAATAAATTTAAAGTACAAAAATTGCATGATATAAAATATTGACCTGTAATACTTAAATCTATGTATTTTTTTTTAGGTATCCATACTGTTTAGCAATCATTTGTACAGAGGAAACCGTACAAGTAAAGTCAATTCAAATAGTTTTAAAGCATTTAAATCTCCTAATATGATGCCACTCGTGACAGTTGGAATAAATATTAATAGTATGTACTTTTTATTAATCTAATTATTGTAAGTTTGCCTTTAGTAACAACATGAGTGCTTTATTTTATTATCATTAACTTTTTCTTTTCTTTAATATTCATTTTCATAAGGCCTTTAGTATAGGTATTTTACATGCAATAATAAATGAACTATACTGTTTTGCTCATTCAATCCCAGTTTAAGTCTGTTGGTCAATAAACTTTTATTTATACACAGCTCTTTTTGGCCTTTGCAAATGAGTAGAATATTACAATTCCTTTATTATTAAATTGATAAATGTTAGTGATGTTGTAGCTGAGTAATAAGAAAGATAGAAAATTTTGGATTTTTTTTTTGTTTGTTTGTTTTCAGTACATTGGCAGAATGTCTTCAAACCAAAGCAAATTGACAAATTTCATGTTCATGACACACTGAATCCTCATGTTGGTCTTTTACGACTTTTTCCAAGTATTACAATGGAAGTAGTGAGTTTTTACAACTTTATCTTGTATTTTACGTATTACACATTAAAATTGTAAATCAGATACTTTGGCTTTTGTATTTTACTGGATAGTTGGAGTAATTGAAAACGGTATATTTGGAAATATCCATTTTCTTTAGTTGATTATTTTTGTGGTATTAATCAAGTTAATCAATTACCAGGTAGTTGGAATAATCAAAAACAGTAATAGTAGGAAACACTAGTTGATTATTTTCATTACATTAACCGATTTAACTGTAATTTTGATTAATTGAGTATTTTACCTGACACTAATTGATGTAATTGTTACTCATAGGTAATTAAGTTCTTTCAATTTACTTTCTTGTATTACAATTACATACTAATTACCAAAGACCTAGCTTATTAATACAATAGAAATAAAAGGACTTTTTGTGAATTTACTCTTGTATAGGTTAGAGCTTTCTTGATGCCTCCGATAGAAGGTGTAGTGTTACAGACGTATGGAGTAGGAAATGGTCCTACTAATCGAAAAGACTTGCTGGATGAACTAAGACAAGCAACTCGGCGTGGAGTAATTATTGTTAACTGTACACAGTGCAATAGTGGATTGGTTGACCCAGCATATGAAACTGGAAGTGTAAGTAGTATCCTGTTTTAAAAACAGTGTATAACCAGTAATAAACCTTTTCAGCTTTCCCCTAAAAAATTATTTGTTCACTTAAAAATATTACAAAAGATGTGAAAACCTAACCAGTTGTCTATCAACCTATACCATCTTATATTGTAAACTGTTTTTAAATTTTTGCTTAATTATATAAAATATAATGGTTATTTCAAATCACTCAAAAAAATGCAATACAATGTAATTGATATGTATTTAGTGTTATAATAACGAGTCAGTTCATGAATGTATGTGTGCTATCTTACATAGAATCCCAGTATTCCTATTGGCTAATTGTACAGTGATACTTATATGTTCATACAAGTGCAAAAGTAAATGAGGTTTAACATGCATTGTTCTATACAAATGCAAAACTATGATGTTTATAACGTTATTTGTATAGAAAATTACTTCAGTAACATAAACATGCACAGAAAAATACATTAAATTAATTCTTTACCTTTCTGTGGCTTATAAATAATGTAATACCATTTCATATCGATAGAAATTCCAGTAAGTGCTGAAAATTGACAATAGGCCTTAAGTTTAAATAAGCTTCATATGTGAAGCACAAGTTTATCTGCTGTATAATCTATGGTAATTAACCTTAATAGTCACTGCCACAATTTCATTCATTTTTAATGCCCTACAGCTAACACACTGCAGGAAAGAAAATAATTGCTGGTTTTATATGATATACGAGTGCGATTTAGGTACATATACACACAAGAAATTTGCAAAAAAGACACGTTTACTATTGATTTTTATATTTCTTGGTACCATAATCTTAAAAATTTCCTATTTTATAATTATTATATGTTTCCAACTATATCAGTAATGGTGTCTAATAATCGACAGTGAGACCTAAAGTTTAAATATGCTTCATATGCAAAGAACAAGTTTACCTGCTAGGGTAATAAGATATTACACAATTTCCATTATTGGTGATAGTGAACCCAATGCTTTGTTAATACTTTAAGGGAGATGAGAGAATAAAAAAAGAGTTAATACCATTATGGAAGGAAAAAATAAAATAAATGAAATACCAACAAACAAAGACAGTTGATTTTTACATTACTTGATACCATAATTTTAAAAATTCACTATTTTATAACATCGATTTATAAAGAGTTCAATCAAGAAAAAAATCTCAAGAGCTTAGGCAAAGATGGCAAATATCCAGAAAGACAAGGTGTTTATATATAAAATGTTGTGTACAGAGATATATTTTGTTTATAGTCATTCCATGTTTTTACACTACCTTATATCTAAGTACAACAGCTACATATTCTGTCTAGTAGGTTTTTGTTTCATTCATGTCCAACTACATAATACAACAACAGCATTATGTAGAGGATTTAACTTCTTAAAGCATATAACCTTCTCATATATATTGTATTTTACTTAATTATGCTACATATGTGAAAATAATCTTTGGGTTGTAGCTAATATGACACTGCACATGCTTTGTATGTTGGAGATGAAGGATTCAATCTCATCAATATTCTTTTTTTGTTTGTTTGTTAAACAATGCTTCAGTAATCAGTTTAGTACATACATTGTACACAAAGCACAAAGTTATCCTCTAGTGTATTATTATTATAACTTACAATAAAAATGTTAACCTTTTCTAATAAACATTATAGAACAAAACTTATAACAACAAACATTGTTTAAATTAATATTTCATTTTGTATAATGTTTAAGTCTTCTAGTTTCCTTATATTTTAAGTAATGTTCGATTTAGAATTCTCTATCATTTAATTATCACTTAAAGATTGGTCATTTAGACTGTAGTGTCATAACTGATGTGTGTCCAAAGTCTTGCATATATTGTTAAGATCTTCTACCAGACTCTTGTCACTAAAATATATTTTCATTTATTTAAATTTAATTAGAATGTCAGCTTAAAATAACTTCATAAGTTGTTAGTGTTATCTTCATACTAATAAAAAATATGTTTTAAATTGCTGAATTCATTTCCTTTTGAGGGAAAACATAGGTAATGGGAAAATATATTTTCCAGATTCTTTGGTAGAATATACATTCAGACACACCAACAGAATAGTACAGTATCATTTCTCCCATTTGTGCTGTATAAATCTTCATCTTCAAATTTAGCAAACAGCAAAGTCTTTGGTGATGTAATATCATAAAATCAAGTTAAATTTTAAATGTTTATACTAGAACTAGTTAACAGTTATTAGTAAGTAAATTTTTAACTGTGCTACACTGTAGATGAGTTACATATACTACCTAATTTTTATCTTATTTTTTGTTTCTGATTGTTTAAAATATAAGCAACAGTTATAGTAAAAATGGAATTGTCAATGAAAAGCAAAAGAAAACTTTCTTAATTTAATCAACTTCAGTTTTTTTTGCTACTCAAAACTTATACGAATTAATTAAATAACCAAAGATATTTTGGGCTAGCTGAAACTGAAAACACCATTAATATAAGCTACAGTTCACCACTATAAAATAGCTTGTTATAATCTATAACTTGCCTTTATCCATGGTTACTGATAAAGAGAGGAATTCCTTAAGTTTAGTCTAATGCAGTGATAAGCAGGAAAACTAAGAACAGGCTGGGCCTTATGATTCTATTTAATTTAATATGTTCATATTTAGTAAAATATGGAATACTTGTATTTACAGTCCCAATTTATCAAAAAACAGCAATGATTCACTATCCTGATGTTTATTTATATGTATTAAGAAGTTTTATGAACAGTTAAAATATTTTTAGAAAAAAATTTAATATATGTAATGAAGGTTGTAATTTTCTTTGTTGAGAACAAACATTTTAACACTTGACCAGTTTATCGAACATACAAGATTGTTTTAATCAATAAGACTTAATATGATACCTGTGTTAAGTTTGTGATAAAAAATTATTTGGAAGGTTTGAGTTTGGCATTAAAATCTTCTGAGCATTAAAAAGACTTTTTATACTTGAGTTCTAACGTACATACCATTACAGGCCTTGTTAGAGGTAGGAGCTGTTCTTGGTTCTGATATGACTCCTGAAGCGGCTCTAACCAAGCTTAGCTATGTTCTGAGCAAATCAGAATGGTCACTTCAAACAAAAATAAAGGTGAGAAATTTCTTCAACTATTCTAATGTATGATATGAAAAGATGAGAATCAATTGGTTAATTAAAATTATATGCCAACCACAACAAAAACTTGAAGCTCTAAAATATATAATACAAATTGCACATGACATATATGATTCCAACAACTTAAACATTGAACAAAAGATAATTTCTGAGGTTTTCATTCATAAAAATGGTTACCCCAAAGGAAAAATAAAAAGAAACAATCAATGAAACCAAAACAAGTAAACTATGATACATTCAAGCTGTAATGGGCAGTTATTGTATGATAGTTACTGAATTTTGAATTGTATTTATTTAAATACTAGGAATATGCAATCAGTGGCAGTAGCATGCATATCACCAACTCAAAGAAGTTTACATGAGAATAGGAACTCAAATATATAAAAGCTAAACTAAAATTACAGTAAGGTTAGTCAGCCCAAGATTGTCAGTCTGGAAATGAGAGTCAGTTCAGATAGAAATTGCCACAGTTAGTTATAGGAATGGAGCAAGCCTCAGCTTCGAATTAAGTTTACCAATACTTTTTAAACCATATAAAAATCAAAAGTCATCAGTTAAGTATCTTAAGTTTAAGGACAACAGAAAATTATTTAATTACCATTGTATATAACAGGATTAATAAAAGTATTTTACTGGATCATTAAGAGTTTTTCTTTTTCCATGAAGTGTGGTGTAAAGTGGATGAAACTGGTTAGCTAATCAATGTGTTTTTCATAATAAAGACTCAAAAATTTCTCCTATAGGTTCTAGAACTTTCTCACAAGAATTGTATCAGTGTTATGTCATTTATGTTCATTGCCGTAGAAGGCAGCCCTTGTAAATGCCACTTTTTTCTCTACATGCTTATTAGTTTATTTGTATGCTGACCTCAGGTCAAACATCTGATGCCTTTCCAGCATATTCCTTCTACTAAGAACTCTTCATCTGTTTTCATATCACATATGTCTTATTACTTGAAATTGTAATGTGATATTGGTATACTTTAGTTCCAATTAGTACATGGTGTCAGGTGGAACATTATCTTACTTTACCCAAATTAAATGTTGGTCCTTTATTTATTTTAATGTTACTCTGTTAAAGTTTTTACATGTCTCTGGCATCACGCTGACACAAGGTGTAATTTTCGGATGATGCATATTATTAATGTACAAAGTACACATGTCGTCAGCAGTTCTTGTACTAGATCTTTGTTCATATTCAGTGTGTGTTTCATTCCTTTTTTTTAAGTTTCTAGTCTGCATGTGTAATTTAGTTTTCTTCTTGTTAACTACTTTCATTTAATATATAACACTAGCATGTAATCATTGTGAATATTCTGGTCAGGCTTGTTTTGTATTTTTAACTAAAATTACTTCAGTCTTTTCTAGTATATTTAATTAAGTTAATTTCATCCATTCTATTTAATTAAGCTTATTTTAAATGGAACAAGAAACCACAAGCCAACAAATACAACTTTATCACAACCACTATTTTAAACATGTCAGTGACAACCTTGTCAGAATATCTAAATGCCTCATGAAAAACATTAACATCAACTTGTTAATCATACAGAAAACAAGAATAAAAATAAAGAACATAAGTTAAAGAAATTATCCCAAACATAAGGAGAGCACAATAATAATATATGAAATTAAATCTGAAACATATAAAAAATTTTAGTTAGGTGAAACTGGAAGAGAACTGAACACTTTAAAGGACTGTCATGTGTATTTGAACATTTGAAAGAAACCAGACACACCATATCTGAAAACTGTTAAAATTATGCAAAGTAAAACTGATATAAACAGAATAACAATTGTGGAAGTCATACTGATCAAAACATTAAAATCCAGTTTGAACAAATATCCTGGAACTCCTTTATCCCCACTAATTGTAGTCCATATAATTCCATATAACATTTCTGACTTTGTTTTTGTAAATAATTATACCCTGGAATGTTAAATACTTATAATTACAATTTGCACAATCAATAATAACCATTACACTTTAAATTTGTAATTGATGATAATCATATGCTAACTAAAGATGGCCTACTCCTATGGACTGAAATGCTGAAGTTTTAAAAACTTAAAAAAAAACAAGACTTTTATGCTTGTTAGAATTAGAAAAGTTGTATAGATAAATTTAATATTTCTTTCTTTATAAAAGAAACAAACAAATGTCCCACTGCTGTTACTTCTATACTTTGATAGATCACTAAATAATAGATGTAGAACCTTTCTTGAACAAATTAGACTTTATTATTGATACATGTAGTAAGTATAAAGAATTTATTTTAAGTAAATTTCCACCAAAAAAAAAGATTTATATTTTAATTATACTGCATACTTTCAATCATTGAAAGGCAGAGCATAGCCAGGTGGTTAGCTAGCTCAAAATGAGAATCTGGGGGTTCATAGTGTTCCTAGTTTTTGCTGTAAAAACACATTCTACCTCTTGGGGACTATGGATGCATTATAAGAATGACAGTCAAATCACTATTCAATCAGACAAAAGTAACCCATGAGGTTATTTGTGGTAGGTGCTGTTAACTAGCTGCTCTCATTCTACTCCATCAGTTACAAAAATTAGGAACAGCTATTCACAGGTAGTCTTTTGTGTAACTACATGAAAATTTGGGAACAAACAGTTATATAAATTTTAAAACAAATTCTTCTTGATCTGTTTTAATACAGATAAATAAAATACAATAAAAATCTATTTTGTACAAAATAATGAAGTTGGCTTTTTTTATTCCCAAATAAACTATTTTGAGGACATGTCATGACTGTATGAGCTTATCAAATATTATGACTGTACCTTCAGTTATTATCAAGGAATTGCTTAGATAGATAACCATTAAATAAACGACAAATTTTAAAGAATATATATATGGGTCTAAATAATCATTTGCTAGTCACTATACATAATGAAAAGTTTCTGAAAGTGAAAAAAAAAGTTTCATCTGCATAAATGTGGTTAAATATCAAAACTTTTATACCACCTAAATAGTCCATGTTGAAAGAGAAATCTGTGCAACTTATGCATAAAGTGCTGACCAGACACTATCTTAAAAAGTTTTATCCCTAAAATTATAGTTTTTTGTGTGTATAATATTCACTACTGGTGGAGTCCGTATGTTGCACAGTGTTCAGTAATTTTACGTTTTTACTTGTTACAACTCTCATTGTAAGAAACTTACCAAAACATGGGTGAAATCACTTTTTTTTTTCATGTAAGATACATAAAAGAGTCCAACAGTAAGGTCTGGCATGCCCAGGTGGTTAGGGTGTTTGACTCGCAATCTGAGGGTCATGGATTCGAATCCCTGTCCCACCAAACATGTTCGCCCACCATGGGGGTATTATATTGTGATGGTCAGTACCACTATTTGTTGGTAAAAGAGTAGCCCAAGAGTTGGCGGTGGGTGGTGATAACTAGCTGCCTTCCCTCTAGTCTTTCACTGCTAAATTAGGGATGGCTAGTTCAGATAGCCCTCATGTAGCTATGCACGAAATTCAAAACAAATAAACAAAATCCAACAGTTAATGTTTTAAAAACCAATGGATGATTGGACAGAATTTGGTGATATGATGTTGCATCATTGTGTCCCCTTGACAACCAAGCAAATGCAATGGAGAATTTCAGCCAATGATTATGATTTTTGTGCACCAGGAAACCCAGGAATGGGGCACACTTATACCATATTCTATTTTATTACTCATTACGATCTCTGCCAACCTACCCCCAAATCTAGTTTGTTGTATGCTCAAACTAGTGCATCATCCATTTTACATATATATATATATATATATGGCTGGGAGAATTTTTTTTATTGTTTTTTGAGACAGAAAGCATCATCATTTCATGCAAGTTGTGTGTCAATTAGTACCACAATGGCTGAGATTTTTGTCTTTATACAGTAGATTTAATTATACTTTTTTTCGCTATTATATGTAAACTTAACCTTTTGAAACACAATTTGGATTTGATAGA